AGAAAAATATAATCCAATCAAATTTCAGAAAAAAAAATAGCCCTGATTTGATTATATTTGTTTAGGGTTATATAAATTAGATTCATTTATAATTAACAGAATTTGCGAGGTATTTAAGTTATGCCTGACATGTCACTCGTAAATTTCACTTGACATGTGACCTGATAAAATCTTCCCTCCCACGCTCAGCGTGCTGAGTCAGGTGTAAGGTCATATGTGAGGAAATATCTCAACTTTGCAAGCCTTCTGCTCCCCTATTATTTTTACAGATCCTCGATAATGTGTGAAATCACGAAAACGCTCGGAAATGCACTATTGTTTTCGCAGTGGTTATTTTGCATATTGTGATATCAGCTGTTTACTGTGATCTTAAGCACACCTGTGGAATATATATTTATATGGAAGAGTTCGGAGGGATCCCTCCAGAGGAAAGACGAGGGAAAGGGGAAGATGGTGTAGTGAGGGGAGAGGGAGAAATGGGAAAGAAGAGGATAGGTTGAGATGGGGATAGAGGGACAGAGATGAGAGTGGGAGGGAAAAGGGGGAGAGGGGAAAAGGGAGGAGATGGAAGGAGAAAGACGGGGATTAGAGAGGGTAGAGGAGGAATGGAGAGGGGAGGTATGTAGGGTTAAGGGTGGAGGGGAGGGGAGAAAAGGGGTAGGAATGGAGAAGATAATGGGAAAGGAAGAGAGGGGGAAGAGAAGGGAGGAATAGCGGGGAAGGGAGAAGTAGAAGAATGAAGGGGAGGAATGGATGGGATGGGGAGTATAGGAAAAGGAATGGAGGGGATGAGAAGAGAAAGGGAGCATTGACAGGAGAGAGAGAGAGAGAGAGAGAGAGAGAGAGAGAGTGGAGGAGGAGGGGGGAGCAAGAGGGGAGAGGTGTAGTTTCCTCTCCTCTCAATGTTGGTCCTCTCTTGTCACTCTTCATCCTCCAGCCTCAGAGTCAAGCTTAAACAATCACTCTTCAAAAATGAACAAGTCAAAATTTTCTCGACTTTTACTCCTGTTCATCAGCAGAGAACTTCGAAGAGGCTGGACCGAAGTGCTGTGCCAAAGGAAATTTCAAGAAGTCCCGTGCTGCAGCACCTCTAAGTTGCGCAATAACACGTTTACCCTCTTCAACTGTGTTCAATGAATAAATTGTGATTTTTAAATGAAGTTAAACGAAGCATCCAAAGAACTTGGCGTGTCAAGTGATCACTTGGAGATTGTAATCCTGGCGGCGCCACACCTCGCTCCACACATTAAAAAACAATCGAAATTCCATTAAGAAAGCTGTGGATGCATTATATATTTCGCTCGCGAGAGGACTAAGAAAAAGGGGCTGGGGGGAGTTCCCGATCAAATGCAATGACGAAGCTGGTTTGAATGGCATCGATTTTATCATTACGGAGGAGGAGGGACTCGCTCGGCACTCACCCAGACAGAAATATTCCCTGCTATTGTGGGGTAACGTGATAAATTTTCCTCCAAGCAGCAGTTGATACGTATATGACAATGTAATCCTCTCGCAGTGCTATTGAAACCCATTATCAATGAGTTATTCAAATCCTTTGAATGTTTGTGCTACTGAAACCGATTAAAGATTAGCTATTAAGAATGATATTGACATTGTGTCTGTAGCTGTATATCAAGGCAGTGATAATATTTGCATGTACGCTCTATAAATCATGGAATGGACAACAAATGTTCAGAATATTGCTTTATAAAGCCCCCAGTTGCCTAATGACCGAGAGCTATGTAACGTTAAATAAAATGAGAACTTGCTTTCTCTACTAACTTCTGGGGCTCTGGCTGAGGATCCTCACATAACTATATTATAATTTACTTTAGTGATTGATATAGTTCTTGTTTTTTGGTCGCTATACCAATGTTTAAAAAGAAGAAAACAAGTCCGTGGATCCCGCACCAGTAACCGTCCCTTTAAAGATATGTCAACACAGGAAAGTACACAAGTTTCTAAATTCTTTTTCACAATAGTAAGAGTATGAATAAATAAATAATATATATATATATATAATATATATATATATATATATATATATATATATATATATATATATATATACATGTAATTGTGTGCACGCGCGTGCCCTCGCTTCTGTTCAATGGAATACATTAGGTGCGTGGTAATTGTGGGAGCTTGTAAGCTTTCAAACACGAATTAACCGCTGTAGCAACACTTAGTGAGTAATGATATGCGTTCACTCTTTCCTAGTCACTTTCATAGTTACATTCATAGTCACATTCACGGTCACATTTGTAGTCACAGTGCAAAACGTACAACGAGCGAAGACGTATTAGCACCTCGCGTCATGCGTCATTACCAGCCAAATCGAAGACCGTCATTTCAGTCAAAAGAAAACTTATTCCGGTGATAATAATGAAGTTTAACCCTTCACAACAATTTTCTTTTATTGTGTCAATCACTGGGGCTCGGGGGACAATGACAAAGGAATATCAGATGAAGGGCGGGGTGGTGATCGCTGGAGCGAGCCCTGACACCCGATGTGTTCCCTGTAAACAGTGACCGCAAGCCTGGCCGGCTGAGGAAACTTACAACCCTTCACTCATTCGAATTCACTCGAACTCGCTCGAACTCGAGTGTGTTCATATAATAATGTCTCCCTTCCTCTCCTCCCCTATTCTCCGTTCCCCTCCCCAGCATCCAACCCAACACCTCACCTCAAGAAAAATGTAGTGAAGACTTTGTTGCGTAATCTCAGACGAAGATGTGTATCAGGATGCTGCGCCTTGTTCCTGACGAATAAGTCACCACCTTTCATAAAACAAAAACAAAAACAAAATGTAAAGCATATTAACAGCGAGAAAGTAAGTCCACATTTAGCAGACTTAATGTTTTATTTAGAATATAATTTCCTCTCCTTAAATGCAGAAAAAAAAAATACCAAAAAAATCGCAATAAAGGAGACACACTAATCACCTTATCTTTAGGGGTTCCCCTTATCAACAAATGCAATTGCAAAACTAACTTGAGAACACAACTTTTGCTAATCCCCCAATCCTATTCCACAGCTACGAATCAATTAAACAAACAAGTCAGAGGTGGGAATCCTGCAACAACGATCCACAGTGAACGTTAGCTAACCTCATGGAACAAGAGACATAACGAAACAGTCCAGATGTGACTGGAAAAAGGGTGTTTGCTCTGGGTCGAGCGGCACATGTGGCGTGTAAAGGGGTGAAATGTGAAAATCATCGAATAATGCCATTGTGTCCAGCCGTTCGTATGGGAAACGTGGACGGTCTTGTCGGAGCCTCTGTTCTCCCGCACCGTTTACGCAAGCCGTCAACAGAAGGCATCTGTTATTATACGCCGCTCTCTGCCGCTGACCACCCGTTGAAGAGCTATGATGGATCTCATGCGTCGCCGGTACTTATGAAGACATTATGAGAGCCCGGGATCCAGATTTATAAAAAATCAGAGCTCAAAGCATGAATTTCTAGTTAAAATCATCATAATTAGAGTACAAACAATCAAAACCAGAGTCCAGATTATTCAAATCAAACTAAATAATTGAATCATCATATACATTATCTGAATCCAGAGCTCAAACCGAAGCTCAAATGAGCTGAATCTTAGTTCAGATTACCGAACCCGAGTTCATACTCTCCCGCGAAAGTTCAAGTTCCGATTCAGATTTTGGAATTCAACGAATTCGAACCCAATCGAAACAGGTTCTTTTTTTATTATTAGTTACTTCTTACATTAGCAAATTTATCATCGTATACCTGTTTCTCGGTGTTCCTAAACTTGACGAAACTGATGAGGACTCAAAAACCGCCATTTTGAAACTGGACAAGGCGTGAAACTGAAGATTTGTTTCTATAAAATTTCAGGACATGTCGAGAGTATCCCGACATTCTCCTGTACAAACTACTAAATTTAAAAAGAAAAGCTTTCATTTTTTTTTCTTTTTGGGTCACCCCCGCCTCGGTGGGATGCGGCCGGTTCGTTGAAAAAAAAATCAGGGAGTGTTCCTGAACACACATTAATAAAACAGAACTAGTTAGTGCCGTGATGATTATCTAGTCAAATGCTCTTAGTAGGTAAAACGACAACATCAATTAGGAAACGTTTCGCCACTCGTGGCGAAACGTTCCCTCTAATAAATGTCCGGATCTGTATATAAGTGCCTTTTTCCACATCTTGTCCGTATGGTCATACCATTTTTCAAACGTCTCAAGTTTGAGTCTTGACTTGTGTCAGATGTCTGACCTTATTTTACAGTCTTGGAGTGAATGAATAAAAATATATTGTTCGTAATTGTGTGTGTGTGTGTGTGTAGTGTAGTGTGTGTTGTTGTGTGTGTGTGTCGTTGTGTGTTTGGTGTGTACAACATAGTATGTCTTCATAACTTTTGTGTCTGTTAACAGGGTAAGATGATTTGTTTTTATTTTCACTCCGAAGGTGCTGCTTATTATTCTAGCTGTTGGTGCGGGAGTTTCTGCGAGGTAATACTAGCGAAGGTCCTCTTTCGTTCACTTTAACTAGGTAATGCTAACGAAGGTCCTCTCTTGTCCTCTCAGCGAGGTAGTGTTAACCATTATCTTCTACTGTCCTCTCAGTCAGTAACCATAGTTCTCTCTCTCTCTCTCTCTCTACTCTTCCTCTCTCTACTCTCCTCTCTCTCTCTCCTCTCTCTCTCTCTCTCTCTCTCTCTCTCATCTCTCTCTCTTCTCTCTCTCTCTTCTCTCTCTCTCTCTCTCTCTCTCTCTCTCTCTCTTCTCTCTCTCTCTCTCTCTCTCTCTCTCTCTCTCTCTGTCTCCCTCTCTATCTCTTTCTCTCTTCTCTCTCTCTCTCTCTCTCTTCTCTCTCTTCTCTCTCTCTCTCTCTCTCTCTCTCTCTCTCTCTCTCCTCTCTCTCCTCTCTCTCTCTCTCTCTCTCTCCCCTCATCCAGATAGTAATAACCAAAGCGCTGTCTGTCCCCTCAGCCAGGTAATATTAACCAAATTTCTTTCTCTTCTCCCCTACAGACCCGGACGTCCTCCAAAGCGCCCCCACGAGATTTTGGGCATGGGCGGCCTTCCAGGTCCCCTGGGTCCTGGAGGACTTCCGCCTCCACACCTCTCACCAGAGGCACTAATGGCACTGAAGAAGACTCGCATGGATGCCAGGGACTTCCCACCCTTCATGAATGGCGGAGTTCCTGGTGAGTCTCCCACGCCAACACAGATGACAGGCTTTTTTCTTCTGTCTTAAAGTCAAGTTCAAAGTGATGGAAATTTCATATTTCCTCTGTGACATTATCAAATTTTGCAACGCGTTTTGATATATGAAAAAAAAATTATTGAGTTTGAAGATTTATAATTTTTTTCAGGTGGTAAAGAAGACTATGATGTCTTGCCCACCTATTCAAAATGTTTTATATTTTAAACATTTTATCGATACCTATATCTAAAAAAAATAATAAATCATATGGCTATGCTAAAGCACCATATGATCTGTTCTCTACAGATAACGAGATGGAGAAGTCGCCGCTTCTCTCAAATGGATACAACCCTCCACCCAAGGGGCTCATGGCTCAGTACATGGCCCTCAACGGTGGCATGCCCCACCCTGCCCTGCTGGCACACACGGGGCTGCCCCTGCCGCCCCACCCTGCCCCCTGGGCCGCCCACGCTGCAGACCACCCCTTCAAGAATGGACCCCCTCCTGATAGCCTCGCTCGGTGAGTAACTCTACGCTGGGGTGAGTTATTTTTTGCCAAAGATTAGCTACAAATCGATGAGATTTTAAATTTTGACAAAATATTAGCCCAAATAAAACATTTATTTTTTTGCAAAAGATTAGCATTGAAGTCACCAGTGTTTGAACACTGAAGTTATCGTTGCATAAGTTTTATATTTTTAATTTGGAGAGCGAGATAAATCAGAATGGCACCAGTTGTCATATTTCTTCACCTTCATCTACAGCTCCTACTTATTAACAGTAATACAGATGTGTGGAACTTTAGAAGCTTAGTAGCAGTGGCTTCACTGGTAACTAAGGTAATACAGACGTGTGAAGCTTCACGCGTTATACGCCTTGGCTTCACTGGTAACTTCTCCCATACTAACCCCGACTGTGACCCTGACTGTAACTCTGTGTCCCTGACTGTGATCCTGTGACCCTAACTTTGTCCCTGACTGTGACCCCTGTGACCCTGGTCATAGTACACTGAACACCAAACGTTAAAGTTTGGTAATCTCTACGTACAATGAGGCAGCCACGACACTGTACACTACTGTTTATTGTACACCAGGGATGTAGCAGCATCACATTTAGATAAAACACCGAACAATAACACCCAGACTACACAACCGTATAATAATGTTCAGATAAACGAACATAACTTTACATTACGTTATACCAAAGTTGTCGCAGATTTTGTTTAAAAGAGAGAGAGAGAGAGAGAGAGAGAGAGAGAGAGAGAGAGAGAGAGAGAGAGAGAGAGAGAGAAAGAGAGTCGTAAACAAGGAAGAAACATGTGTAGATCTTCTCTGCTCCTTCGCAGAATTAATTTAAACAGGAAATACCTACGAGATTCATCTCCCATAAATATTAAGTCAATGTTCCGTCTCATCCCTCGCAACCTATAGTCGTAGAGAACATTACCTATAGTCGTAGAGAACATTACCTATAGTCGTAGAGAACATTACCTATAGTCGTAGAGAACATTACCTATAGTCGTAGAGAACATTACCTATAGTCGTAGAGAACATTACCTATAGTCGTAGAGAACATTACCTATAGTCGTAGAGAACATTACCTATAGTCGTAGAGAACATTACCTATAGTCGTAGAGAACACTACCTATAGTCGTAGAGAACATTACCTATAGTCGTAGAGAACATTACCTATAGTCGTAGAGAACATTACATATAGTCGTAGAGAACATTACCTATAGTCGTAGAGAACATTACCTATAGTCGTAGAGAACACTACCTATAGTCGTAGAGAACATTACCTATAGTCGTAGAGAACACTACCTATAGTCGTAGAGAACACTACCTATAGTCGTAGAGAACACTACCTATAGTCGTAGAGAACATTACCTATAGTCGTAGAGAACATTACCTATAGTCGTAGAGAACATTACCTATAGTCGTAGAGAACATTACCTATAGTCGTAGAGAACACTACCTATAGTCGTAGAGAACACTACCTATAGTCGTAGAGAACATTACCTATAGTCGTAGAGAACATTACCTATAGTCGTAGAGAACATTACCTATAGTCGTAGAGAACATACCTATAGTCGTAGAGAACATTACCTATAGTCGTAGAGAACATTACCTATAGTCGTAGAGAACATTACCTATAGTCGTAGAGAACATTACCTATAGTCGTAGAGAACATTACCTATAGTCGTAGAAAACACTACCTATAGTCTAGAGAGAACACTACCTATAGTCGTAGAGAACATTACCTATAGTCGTAGAGAACATTACTATAGTCGTAGAGAACATTACCTATAGTCGTAGAGAACATTACCTATGTCGTAGAGAACACTACCTACAGTCGTAGAGAACACTACCTATAGTCGTAGAGAACATCCTATAGTTCGTAGAGAACACTACCTATAGTCGTAGAGAACATTACCTATAGTCGTAGAGAACACTACCTATAGTCGTAGAGAACACTACCTAAAGTCGTAGAGAACACTATCTATAGTCGTAGAGAACACTCCCTATGGTCGTAGAGAACACTCCATATAGTCGTAGAGAACACTACTTACAGTCGTAGAGAAAAACACTCCCTATAGTCGTAGAGAACACTCCCTATAGTTGCAGAGAACACTACCTATAGTCGTAGAGAACATTACCTATAGTCGTAGATAACACTACCTATAGTCGTAGAGAACACTTCCTATAGTCGTAGAGAACACTACCTATAGTCGCAGAGAACACTACCTATAGTCGTAGAGAACACTACCTATAGTCGTAGAGAAAACTACCTATAGTCGTAGAGAACATTACCTATAGTCGTAGAGAACACTACCTCTAGTCGTAGAGAACACTACCTATAGTCGTAGAGAATACTACCTATAGTCGTAGAGAACATTACCTATAGTCGTAGAGAGCACTACCTATAGTCGTAGAGAACACTACCTATAGTCGTAGAGAACACTACCTATAGTCGTAGATAACACTACCTATAGTCGTAGAGAACATTACCTATAGTCGTAGAGAACACTACCTATAGTCGCAGAGAACACTACCTATAGTCGTAGAGAACACTACCTATAGTCGTAGAGAAAACTACCTATAGTCGTAGAGAACATTACCTACAGTCGTAGAGAACACTACCTCTAGTCGTAGAGAACACTACCTATAGTCGTAGAGAATACTACCTATAGTCGTAGAGAACATTACCTATAGTCGTAGAGAACACTACCTATAGTCGTAGAGAACACTACCTATAGTCGTAGAGAACACTACCTATAGTCGTAGATAACACTACCTATAGTCGAAGAGAACACTACCTATAGTCGTAGATAACACTACCTATAGTCGTAGAGAACATTACCTATAGTCGTAGAGAACACTACCTCTAGTCGTAGAGAACACTACCTATAGTCGTAGAGAATACTACCTATAGTCGTAGAGAACATTACCTATAGTCGTAGAGAACACTACCTATAGTCGTAGAGAACACTACCTATAGTCGTAAAGAACACTCCCTAAAGTCGTAGAGAACACTACCTATAGTCGTAGAGAACATTACCTATAGTCGTAGAGAACATTACCTATAGTCGTAGAGAACACACACATCAGTAGAGAACACAGTCTTAGAGAACACCATGTTCTGGAGTCACCATCACACTCGTGGCAGTCAACACTACAGTGCTAGGACCTAAATGTCCAACCGCCGATGATAATGACAGAAACATTGCTTTCACGGGGAAGGCGAACGCAGCCTTTCGCTTTAGAGCGAAACGTTGCCCAGTTAAAAAAACAAAGATTGTTCTGCAACGTTTTTATCTTATTAACACTACTTTGTTATTACGCTCTTTAATTAATCTTATTACTTTTTATCACCATCAACTGATTACCATTCTCCTACCATCACGTAAATGTGTGTATTCTATCACTCTGTGTTATTGTTAAGTTATGATTACCATTCTTTAACCACTACATCCCCCCACCATAGGGTGATGGGGATATCATCATTTTTAATGACTAAAAATGGAATCATGCCCTCTCGTCACCATGATGATCATCGTAACTCATCACCCTCACTGCCGTCTAAACTGTCACAACTAATCACCAGTGTCACCACTACTAGTCACTGTCACCTCATCATCGTCACCATATCTCATCACCACTTTCATATCACCATTGTCACAACTCATCACCAGTATCGCCACAGCTGTCATAACTAATCTCCACTCTCACCACAAAATATAACTATCACCATAATGTACCACAACTGTCACCACAACTCATCACTACTGGCACCTCAACTTATCACCGCTGTCACCACAACTCATCACCACTGTCACCACAACTCAACACCACTGTCATCACAACTCATCACTACTGTCACCACAATCAATACACCACAATCAATACCATCAACTGTCAACACAACATCCATCACCACAACTCCACCTTCAAACTTATCACCACTGTCACCACAACTCATCACCACTGTCACCACAACTCATCACCACTGTCACCACAACTCATCACCACTGTCACCACAACTCACACCACTTCATCACAACTCATACCACTGTCACCACAACTCATCACCACTGTCATAACTCATCACCACTGTCACCACAACTCATCACCACTGTCATAACTCATTACCACTGTCACCACAACTCATCACCACTGTCACCACAACTCATTACCGCTGTCATAACTCATCACCACTGTCACCACAACTCATTACCACTGTCACTACAACTCATCACCACTGTCACCACAACTCATTACCACTGTCACCACATCTCATCACCACTGTCACCAACTCATACCCTCATAACCACCACGTGTCATAACTTCATCACCACTGTCACCACAACTCATTACCACTGTCACTACAACTCATCACCACTGTAACCACAACTCATTACCACTCACCACAACTCATCACAATGACCTGTGTTGCAGATCGATGGTGTGGGAAAACTGCCGTGCGTCGTACGATGAAGTTCTGAAACATCTGGAGAGGTGAGTGAAACATCACTCCTTGTGCAACCCATACTTCAAGGAGAACGTTTCTCCCATATAACCCATACTGCAAGGAGAACGTTTCTCCCATGCAACCCATACTGCAAGGAGAGCGTTTCTCCCATGCAACTCATACAGCAGGAAGAATATTTCTCCCATGCAACCCATACTGCAAGCAGAACGTTTCTCCCATGCAACTCATACTGCAAGGAGAACGTTTCTCCCATGCAACTCATACTGCAAGGGAGAAGCGTTTCTCTCATGCAACCCATACTGCAAGGAGAACGTTTCTCCCATGCAACCCATACTGCATGGAGAACGTTTCTCCCATGCAACTCATACTGCAAGGAGAGCGTTTCTCTCATGCAACCCATACTGCAAGGAGAACGTTTCTCCCATGCAACCCATACTGCAAGGAGAACGTTTCTCCCATGCAACCCATACTGCAAGGAGAACGTTTCTCCCATGCAACTCATACTACAAGGAGAAAGTTTCTCCCATGCAACCCATACTGCAAGGAGAACGTTTCTCCCATGCAACTCATACTGCAAGAAGAACGTTTCTCCCATGCAACTCATACTGCAAGGAGAACGTTTTCTTCCATGTCCAACCATACTGCAAGGAGAACGTTTCTCCCATGCAATCCATACTGCAAGGAGAACGTTTCTCCCATGCAACTCATACTGCAAGGATAACGTTTCTCCCAAGCAACCCATACTACAAGAAGAGCGTTTCTCCCATGCAACTCATACTGCAAGGAGAACGTTTCTTCCATGCAACCCATACTGCAAGGAGAACGTTTCTCCCATGCAACCCATACTGCAAGAAGAACGTTTCTCCCATGTAACTCATACTGCAAAGAGAACGTTTCTCCCATGCAACTCATACTGCAAAGAGAACGTTTCTCCCATGCAACCCATACTGCAAGAAGAACGTTTCTCCCATGCAACTCATACTGCAAGGAGAACGTTTCTCCCATGCAACTCATACTGCAAGGAGAAGTCTTTCTCCCATGCAACTCATACTGCGAAGAAGTAACGTTTCTCCCATGCAACTCATACTGCAAGGAGAACGTTTCTCCCATACAACTCATACTGCAAGGAGAACGTTTCTCCCATGCAACTCATACTGCAAGGAGAACGTTTCTCCCATGTAACCCATACTGCAAGGAGAAAGTTTCTCCCATGCAACCCATACTGCAAGGAGAAAGTTTCTCCCATGCAACCCATCTTGCAAGCACATTTCATTTATAACATAATCAAAGAACAATTAAAATGCAACAAAACTGATAAAGTTATAACTTTTCTATAACAGTTATACAAGTGGTGGTTCACTTGAAGATACATCTTCAAGGATTCTCAGTAAGTGGCTGACAGATTTATTTTCTATCATGTATATCTTGAGAACTTCTCAACCGATCAACTTCATACTGTCAACACTTGTTATAACTGGGGCAAGGTTTGTGTCACTATTGGGGTGAGCAAGTGCCCTCTTGTCAATTTTAGATTGGCCTGACTATGATACCTTGAGAAAGCCTCTTCTGATCGGCTTCAATCTTTCTACGGTGGGGTATCCTACTGAGAGGATTCGTGGTGTTATTTGAGGGTGTAGGTCCCGATTTACAAGTGATGGTTATAAAATAAAAAAAAACGAGTCTCACCTGAAAGGCTTCAAATTTTAATGGTATGTCTAATGAAGTGGATGTGGCCCTTGAAGTTTAAGTTGTGTAGATGCAAATTTACCAGTTTACTAACATGATATAAATCAGATAATTGTGCAACATTTAAGTATCTTTATTCTGGAATATAGATACCCAAATGCTCCAGAAAAGAGATACCCATATAGTCCAGAAAAGATACCCAAATGTTGCATAAGTGTCTCATGTATGAACATGGCGGCTTTCTAAGTTATTTATTCAGACAGCATTAATATACCTTGAATTATTGGATTCCAGGCGGTAAAATTTAAGTCTACTTCAAACTTTTGTGCTAGTGCGTTTTGCTCACAAAAAAGATTCGCATTACAACTAGGCTGCATACGTCCCAGTTTGCCAAATTTGAATATTGATTTTAATATACTAACTGGAGAATGCCTGATCTGATCGGTTTTAAACTTAAAATTAGTGTATCTTACCTTGTAGGTTTGAACTGGATTTGCTTCGTATAAGTGAAATTTTGCTGATCTCATTAAAGAAATTTTGAAACCAGGAATACTGACTTCTGTACAATAACCTGTCCATGACTTTTGTGTTAGGCTTCAAATGTTCACTGCTGTTGTATCTTCGATTTTCTTTGTTATTGGAGTATGAATTTTGACTTAGATTTTGCCGCCGGAATGGCTAGTTTATTGTGCACTCCACATCCATCCTGTGGACGACAGCACAAGAACATATGGATACACAAAAGGCCTTGGACCTAGGTCCCAAAAGAGGTTAAGGTTAGTTCATCTGGATTTATATCTAAAATTAACTCATCTGTTGAAAGCAGATTTAAGATATTTAGATATTTTCGTTTAAAATGACTGTTAGGTTTGGTCAAAACAAATAATGTTTTTACATTGTCAATGAAAACAATATACCTGTATTTTTTGGGGGGGAGGGGGGGAGAGGGTGGAGGATTCCAATTTTTATTAGAGTTCAGTCTGTTCGGCAAGTTCAGCTCATCAGACACTACTACCGTCCTGCCAAGTGAGTGTGAAATGAAAACCTGTAATTGTTTTACACAACGGTAGGATTACTGGTGTATTTTCTTTTTGTCTCATAAACACCCAAGATAACAGGTATATCTTGCTGCTTCTACATTACAATTACGTCACACTACACATGCATGTACACATATTTGTATACACACCCCTCTGAGTTGCCTTCTATTTTCTTAATAGTTCTTGTTCTTCTTTATTTCCTCTTATCTCCACGGGAAAGTGGAAAAGAATTCTTCCTCCGTAAGCCTTGCGTGTCGTCAGAGACGACTAGAATGCCGGGAGTACAAGGCTAGTAACCTCTTCTCATGTACACATTATTTGTGTCACCCTGCCTCGGTGGGATACTGCATTGATATATACATACATTACGACACTTTTACTCCTGGGAAATGTATTAAGCTCTCTCACTCCCTCACCCTTGCTCTTTCTCTCTATTTGATACATACAGTATTAGGTTACACATTCTATATTCATGTTGCCTTACTCCCGTTTCCATTATACAGAATTTCACATTCAGGTCCTTAATATATAGCTGTTACCGCCACCACAGGCAGCCATAATGGCTGAGTTATTATGGCTGGGCAGTTAGTGTTTTAATTGTATCATGTTATGTCTTCCCAGAACCAGTAACAAAAATGGTCATCTCACAATATAATTATAATTCACTCAGTCATGTCTGACTCAGTCAAGTCTGACTTCCACGCCGGTAATTATAAAATAATCAAGGGTAATAATATATAATTTAGACATTTATGGGAAGGAAAAAATAGCAGTAATGGAGAGCAGTTGGGTGGGTGCGCCGTGGCTGCCATTGCTGGTGGAGGTTGTGAAGCATGGTACCATGGAGGAACATGTTGTGCTTCCTGATGGATGCAGCATCACTTTAAGATTGGAAAATGCTCTGTGGTAGATGCTCAATTGCTGTAAGTTGATCACCGAGCTTAAAAGAAAAGAGTCTTCGGATATAAGCTCTCTATCTCTGTCTCTATACTTACTAGAATTTATTTTATAATATATATATTTTTATTTTTTTATTATCACACCGGCCGATTCCCACCAAGGCAGGGTGGCCCGAAAAAGAAAAACTTTCACCATCATTCACTCCATCACTGTCTTGCCAGAAGGGTGCTTTACACTACAGTTTTTAAACTGCAACATTAACACCCCTCCTTCAGAGTGCAGGCACTGTACTTCCCATCTCCAGGACTCAAGTCCGGCCTGCCGGTTTCCCTGAATCCCTTCATAAATGTTACTTTGCTCACACTCCAACAGCACGTCAAGTATTAAAAACCATTTGTCTCCATTCACTCCTATCAAACACGCTCACGCATGCCTGCTGGAAGTCCAAGCCCCTCGCACACAAAACCTCCTTTACCCCCTCCCTCCAACCCTTCCTAGGCCGACCCTACCCCGCCTTCCTTCCACTACAGACTGATACACTCTTGAAGTCATTCTGTTTCGCTCCATTCTCTCTACATGTCCGAACCACCTCAACAACCCTTCCTCAGCCCTCTGGACAACAGTTTTGGTAATCCCGCACCTCCTCCTAACTTCCAAACTACGAATTCTCTGCATTATATTCACACCACACATTGCCCTCAGACATGACATCTCCACTGCCTCCAGCCTTCTCCTCGCTGCAACATTCATCACCCACACTTCACACCCATATAGAGCGTTGGTAAAACTATACTCTCATACATTCCCCTCTTTGCCTCAAGGACAAAGTTCTTTGTCTCCACAGACTCCTAAGTGCACCACTCACTCTTTTTCCCTCATCAATTCTATGATTCACCTCATCTTTCATAGACCCATCCGCTGACACGTCCACTCCCAATATCTGAATACGTTCACCTCCTCCATACTCCTCTCCCTCCAATCTGATATTCAATCTTTCATCACCTAATCTTTTTGTTATCCTCATAACCTTACTCTTTCCTGTATTCACCTTTAATTTTCTTCTTTTGCACACCCTACCAAATTCATCCACCAATCTCTGCAACTTCTCTTCAGAATCTCCCAAGAGCACAGTGTCATCGGCAAAGAGCAGCTGTGACAACTCCCACTTTGTGTGTGATTCTTTATCTTTTAACTCCACGCCTCTTGCCAAGACCCTCGCATTTACTTCTCTTACAACCCCATCTAAAATATATTAAACAACCACGGTGACATCAACACATCCTTGTCTAAGGCCTACTTTTACTGGGAAAAAATTTCCCTCTTTCCTACATACTCTGACTTGAGCCTCACTATCCTCGTAAAAACTCTTCACTGCTTTCAGTAACCTACCTCCTACACCA